CTTGCCATCAGCAAGATAAATATAACAAAAATCAGACTTAAGCCTATGATAGTAAAAAAATAATATTGCTGAAAATAATTTTATTTTAAATAGCCATAGGAAAAATATACCTTCAAAAAAGAATAGCGAGACAGGCAGTGGCTTTTAAAATTAACATTTGCTGGTTATGAAGTATGAAGAAAAGGTGAAGTCAGTAGATTTATTAAGAATGCTGAAAGAACAACTCTCACAATAAATTTTACCCAACAAAAATGCTCTTTTAAAATGTAGGCAAAACTAATTTACAATGGGAAAACATAGAACAATGGTTGTTTGAGGCTTTTATTAATTCAGGGATGCACTGCAAATGGAAACCAGGAAACGTTTAGGGTGATGGTTGTAGTGGAGGTTTAGTTGGACTCATTTAATTGGATGCAGTTTACTGTTCAGAAATTATATATCAATAATATCCGATTTAAAACTGAAGGCAGGCCTAGCCAATTTGGACCAATGAATAGAGCATTGGCCTGTGGACTAAAGGGTTCCAGGTTCAATTCTGGTCAAGAGCACATGCAAGGGTTGTGGGCTTCATCCCCAGTGTGTGGACGAGGCAGTGATTTTATGGCACTGTACGTCAGGAATGAAGGGCAGTGATCTCTGGGAAGTGGGAAAAGGGGAAGTAGATCCTAAGCTTGCGACAGCCTGAAGGGAGTGTCCAGGCTGCAGTGCTGGCAGGGGGTAAGGAAGGGAGGGAACCCAGGTGAAGCCCAGGGGTCTCCCAGATGTGAGACAGATGTGAGGCCAAGGAGGCTTGGGTTTGGAGTACACAGAGCTGAGTATTGAAAAGTGCACGCATTCGAGGAAATTGCTTGAGGCCAGAGTGAGAATCCCCTAAAGGTGGAGAAGGGCAAGTCCTCAGTCCTCGCACGTGGTTGGGAACAGTTTCTGCTCCCACCAGGCAGACGTTCACGTGGCATTAGGCAGAGTCTCAGAATGGTTTGGCTGCAATAGTGGGGCCAAATTATTCTCAATTAAACTCTGCTCTGGTACGACCTAACAGCAAGAGCTGAAAGGATCGCACTATTTCCAAATAACCCTACCCCAGAACACAGTTCAAGCACCCCTCCAGGGTGAGAGCTGCTGTACAAGGACATACTTCATAGTGAGTGTTTGAATTTCTAGATTAAGTCGGGCGGTTTGGATGTGTAAGAACAGGAAGCACTGGGCAGTTTTCCCAGTGGCCTTCCTTTGGCTGGGACACCAGGCATGAAGAGACGTGGCGGCACTGCAGGGCGATCTCCGAGGACTTGGTCATTCTCATCCGTTTCCACCTGGAACGGGCTCCAGCTTGACCCCTCACCCAGCCTTCCCGGAGCTCAGGGCTGTGTAAGTCAGATTGCAGTTCCTGTTGCGTTGATTTGGTGTTGAAGTGCCTTTCTTAGGAGAGAAAGAGCCGTTCTGTGTTTGTTGTGTTCCCAGCTGTGGGAGTCCACATCACTTGATGGGTGTAGAAAAACACTTTTATTTTGTTGGGGTTCACCTTCATCTCAGATATAACCTTAGTCCTGAAATTGGGTAGAATCATTTCCCCCACTTTATTCTTTTTCAAAATTGTTTTAGCTTTGCTAGTTCCTTTGCCTTTCCATATAAATTTCAGAATAATCTTGCCCATAACAAAAATATCATTCCTTTTTACAATACAAACACTTGTTGTGTCCAGACACTTCCATCAGTGCTCCTTGTGAGCAGTTGATAGGCAAGCACGGAATTGTATAGCCGGACCCTGAGATTATCCAGAGCAAAGCCCCGAATGCAGAGAGCCCCAGCCCGTTCCCAAGGTGGCTTCTGGGGCCTTCCCAGCTTTATTTTGAGCATTGCATGAAAGGATTATATATGGACATACATGAACCTGTACAGATGTGTGTCTGCAAAAAAAAAAAAAAAATGCTATTTTATATAACTCATAACAATTCAAAACCCCCAAAGGACAGCTAGCTCTAACTCCATTTACATTTGCCCTTTCTCTTGAAATGTTCCTTATTGCATTTACATAACTTCTCCTTAACAACTTCTCAGATTCTGGCAGGGACATGGCTGCTAACTGAGGATTCTCAGAGGACGAGCTCAGAGAATGCCACCCACCTTGATTTAATTGCAGTAGAAGCTCAGGATACAATCATATTGTCACAGTAGAGGATAGAGCAGTTGGCACAGTTTCAAACCAGAGGAAATTCGACATTCTAACCAATTTCTTAATCTTCTTAAAGGATCTTTCCTTTTACAACCAGCACAAACCAGTTTGTTCTCCAGTCTGCAGGTGGAGTTCTGGGGACTGTGAGAACCAATCCAAATAAAACAGCTCATAGTCTCATTGTCCTTAGATTCTTCTTCTCCAGTGATTTGGGGGAAGTTCCCTTACTTATCTGTGTTCCTCTGAACTATTTTCTCCCCCTCTTTCTTCCTCTTTTTCTTTTTTTATAAATGAGTTCTTTTGAGTGCTGCACAGTGAAATCTTAGGCTTTATCTAAGACGTTTCAGAAAGCCATCCCACAAATCCAATGTCACCGACGCTTTCTATGGAACAGGGTGACTTTTGTCTTACGTTGTTGCATGAGAAGGCTGATCTGGCAGGCACTGAGCCAAGCAGCAAATAACCCCATGGTCGCTTCCTTTCCCTGGATCACTTCATCTCTGACAGTGCTCCTGTGGGAGAGAGTAAGGACCTGGCTTTCTTAGGGCCTTCTACAATAGTCACAGAGCTTACCACTCCTTTGTTATTTGCTGAGACCCGATAGGGCACTCAGCTTCGTTCCCAAGCCAAGATGAAATCTCTACCTGTGGGAATTCCCCTCTAAGCATTGGCTACAGCCAGACATTTGAAGCAGACCCGCTGAGATAAGGCAGAAATGTCAGTGGTGCGCAGTAGGTTTTGCTCTAACTTCTTTTGTTTGGTGTTTCCTACATGCGGTATACAAAATGAGTAAGTCCTAAATCTCTTTCCGTTAATAATGACAGTGAAGCCACAATAATGGAAGTCGTATGCTATTTTGAAAATATTCCAGTACGTTTGCACGTTTCAGACCTGGAACTTCACCTCCCAGTCCCGGGGGAGTCAGTTCTGTGCAGAACTTCTGGGGAGCCCTCCTGTCCCCGGGTCATGTAAAGCCGCCAAGCTTCCTGTCAGCTAGGTAGCATGCAGTGGAGGCGGGAAGCAAGGAAGAGTTTCTCCCATGACATTTTCTGTGTTATCACTCTTCTGAAACACTTGGTTTGGAAGGTTGAAAGGAGTTGTTCAGGTTCACAGTCCCTTGTGTAAAGCGATAAGAGCTGGATGTGTTTCAGAATCTAGCAATGTCCAGATTTGAGCAGGGTAGTAAAATGCACGCACTGTATAGTAATGTCCCCAGTGGGATCTGGGTCAGCACTCCACAGTCAAACACATTCATATTTCTACAGGAAAGAAACAAATAGTCGCACAAAGAGGAATAATTAAAAGTACTCACATCAGCTCATATCAAGTTTTGTTGCCAAATGTGTTTGTTTTTTTATCTTTCAACTTTTGACTTGCAAATAAGGGGCCGTGGACATGAGCTTCAGTGATAGAAATGGAGCAGGACAAGCCTGGTGAGCATGGGTCATGTTTAATGGAGCCAAGTCACGGGACTGACAGTTGTGATCTGTGACTCTCCCTCCTGGGCCAGTTACTTTCTCTTCCATTGTCTTGGCTTATCTGTCAAGCAGGGGTACTTTTTGCTTTATGGACTGTTGTAGGAATAAGCTAATGGTAAACATGGAACTTAGTGATTGGCATATAATGAGTACTCATTAAATGTTAGCTGTAAAATTTTGCCTCATCCCTTCCTCCTTTCCTTTTAGTAGATAAAAATGGACTGAAGCAGGGATGGCAACACCACTCTGGAAATAGGCCTGTGTGATACAGATTTCACCAGAGAATTAAAACTCTACATTTTTATATTGAAAACTTGTTTCTTGTTAAATGGCTAATATCACCTTGAAATTCTTTTGCAAAATGATCAGATATTTCAATGATGAATAAGTTCTACTTAAGCCTCCTGAATGCTTGGTTATAACTGTGTTTAGGAAGAAGTGTTTGCCACTTGGCAAATTTGCCATTGTGAAGCCCCTTCCCAATTTCCTTCCAGGCCTCATCTTTTAGAAAAAATATTTAAAAGGGCACACTCTAACAAAGATATAACAGGTTTAAAATTTAGTATGTTGGAAAAATGGCATTCGAAGATGTCTCTTCCAATTTAAAAAAAAAAAAATGCAAGGACACTAGTAGGTCTCTTAGGACAAAACAATTTAATTTAAAGTCTCTTTTGTAAAGTGAACTTCTGCTTTTAAAAATTTGTAAAAGCCTCTCTTTTTTTTTTCTTTTTAAATATATTTTATTGATTTTTCACAGAGAGGAAGAGAGAGTTTCACAGAGAGGAAGAGAGAGTTTCACAGAGAGGAAGAAACATCTATGAGAGAGAAACATCGATCAGCTGCCTGTTGCACACCCCCTACTGGGGATGTGCCTGCAACCAAGGTACATGCCCTTGACTGGAATCAAACCTAGGACCTTTCAGTCCACAGGCCGACGCTCAATCCACTTTCAGCAAAAGCCTCCCTTTTTAAAAGGGGAGGAGGGAACATAGCAAAAGAATTGCCTTTTGTTGTCAGCTGTTTTTTATAGCCTTATTCTGTACTTTGTAATCCATTAACAGAAATTCCCTAGAGTATCAACATCTGGTCTAATGATGCATGATCTTCACATTGTTAATAACAGGAGATATTATTTTTCTGGCCTTTGCTCTTAATTCATAAAGATTATAATCACAGACGCTTATTCTTCTGTACTGTTTGTATCAGAGACAGAAGAATTAACACAGAAGGATTTCAAGAGGGTAGAGCCTTTAGCTATTCGATGGGTCTTTGCTCTACAGGGCTTATTAACACTCAAGTGGGCCAATGTGGTTTGCCTCTGCTTATATGCACTTTGTTTCCTGCCTTCACAGCTGAACTACCAGCAGAAAGTCGGCATCATGTACTGCAAAGCTGGGCAGAGCACAGAGGAAGAGATGTACAACAATGAGTCAGCCGGCTCGGCCTTTGAGGAATTCCTTCAGCTGTTGGGAGAACGTGTTCGGCTCAAAGGATTTGAGAAGTATCGTGCACAGCTTGACACCAAAAGTAAGAAATACATGCCCCCTCCTACAAGGTTTATTTCCTCCTGCTGTGTTGATGTTCACCTGCTAAATTGCCCACAAAACAACATTGCCACTTACTGTAGGAAACTGCTGGTGATGGAGGAGAGGAAGCCAGAGAGGGAAGTCTGTGGTTCCAGAGCAGTGTAGACCGTAATCAAAGCAGCGAGGGTGAGACGGTATCAAAAGTGCTATCAGAGAGGTGGATGGGATGGAGCAGAGGATGCAGATTTGCTCCTGGAAAGTGTGGCATGCATTTCACTATATTTAGCTGAATGCTAACGTGATGAGAAACTCTACAAACTTATAACCATCTGGTCATAAGCCCTAGAATTTTCAACTTCCATTCATTTCATAATCCTTATCTTTGAGCCAACCTTTGCGTGGTTTTTCTTATTCATTTTGTGGTTTTTTAATATCTCAGAAGGTTTTAGGTGCTTATTTTCTGTTATTATTATCCACAGTCTAATTTAATCTCTAAGGAAATGGGCTTCTTAAATTTAGAATGAATTTGGCTCATAAAATGTGTTATTAAGCACACAATAATGAAGCAGCCTGTTTATTTACAGCTCATGAACATGCAAGGTTGTCCACTCTCCTTCCCCAAGTTGTTAATAAAATTAAGTTCTCAAGTATCTATTTTGGTTAGAGTACGTTGATTACTACTGTTTGTCTTCATGGAGGCAGTTTTAGATTTTATCTCTAAATCCATCCATAGACATCTGTGACCTTTTTCTTTGAGGGGATCTTTGGATTAGCACATCTGTATTGCAGTCTATAGTAATCTCTCTGATTTTCTGTACAGGAAATTAAGGAGTTGAGTCATGAAAACAGAAAAGCATTCATATACTACTGCAGGGAAGAATTTCCTGTTGCCATGGTTTTGCTGTTGCCAACTTGGAAACGACATGCAAGAGAGACTATTAAAATCCATAAATAGCCTAGACTCTTAAATATTATTTTAACGTTCCATATTCTGCTTGCAAGCGCACAAAATGTTAAATCTCAATATGCCCTAAACTCGTTTTATCCAGATATTCTGACATTTACTCTGTACAATTCATTCATGTTGTCCTAGTTTGTGGTGTTATATAAATTGTCACCACAAAGAGCTATTGAAAGGGTCTGGGAAGAGAATGTAATATGCTCTCTGATTCTATAAATGAATGGCCAGAGTGGGAGTAGATAAGATTATGTATTATTTGTGTATTTACACATGCCCAGCTGCCTCTCGATGATGAGGGACAATGTTAGAAATGTATAGAAAGGCCAGACTTAAGCATGGTAGCATCGGGTAAGGCAGTGGAATAAGCAAAATTATCACTCTGACGTTTTGCCCCAATATCCCAATAACTGTAAAGGCTAAAGGGGTTGGGCCTAGATTAGCAAACTGCCTCTGACTGCCCAGTTTTCTAGTTATATAATACATTCAGCAGGGAAAGGTTCCCTTCTACTAAGATACTCTCCTTTAAGGCTCATTGTAACCTTCCGAAGCATAGCTTCAGAGCGGAAGAGTTCATAGTTTTCTGTTCTTTCATAGTGGCAAGTTTCTTAAAGTTAATGAAAAGTAGGAAAGTGTTTTTATTCTAAAGCCATGAAGAAGGCAGTATGCATATTTATCTCATTACTCCAAGAGTAAAAATAGAGGGGACCATTAGAGTCATCATTTAAACAGGTATCTATCTATATAAAAGCCTAAGCGACCATTAGGACCAGACGCCCGGCCGGTAGCTATGATGCACACTGACTACTGTGGGGCCGACACAACACAGGAGCTGTCCACTGGTGGTCAGTGTGTTCCCACAGCCAACCTCCCATGGCCTGCCAACCTCCCAAGGTCCCTCCCCGCAGCCAGCCAGCCCCCAGAATCACCTTTGATTCTTTTTTCTCAGGGATCACTATCAAATGGTACCTATTGTAAAATGTCTGAAAAATTGCTTCAGATATATTGTCAACTTTTCTACTCAGTACTGTTATGGACAGAAAGGGCAGTCCCAGATAGTTTTTATAGATGCCATCTCCTGAATCTCCACAAGCCCTGCTAGGAATCAGCTCCATTTTACATAATTGGTTTCCTTTTTTTTTAATCATTACCCAAGGATATTGTTCCATTGGTGTTCAGAAAGATTATAAGGGAAAGGGGAGAGACAGAGAGAGAAGAAACATTGGGGTGAGAGAGACACATCGATTGGTTGCCTCCTGCACACATGTTCCTGACTGGAATCAAACCTGGGACCCTTCAGTATGCAGGCTGAAGTTCTTATCCACTGAGCCAAACTGGCTAGGGCCAGAATTGGTTTCTTTAAATTAACTAACATGTCCAAGGTTAGACAGCTAGGAAGCATTAGGGAAAGTGAACAGATCCTAGGGGCATAGTTAATGAAGTACTGGGAGAAAGCATGCATGTAGAATTAAGCCCAGTGAAGTCCAGAGCTCTGCCTTGTGGCTGTGTCTTCCCCTCTCTCGGTCCTTGGGCTAAAAATACCCACTGCCATCCCAGGAAACAGCTCTACGTGTCATGTATTGTATTCAGATTTTAGTACTTTGGTAAAGGAGAGAGAAGCTCAGGGAAGTAATTACGAACCATTTCTTCTTTTTCCCAATTTTTGTACAAAGTTCATTTGCACTTCTCAGAAATAAGGATTTCTAGCAAAAAAGTTACAAATGTGTCAGGGGTCTATAAGGAAGAAATTTGCAACAGTGAATTTTTTTGGTTCCTTGTTTCCTTATTTGGATGACATACCTCTATATATTTACACTCCTGTCACACCGCAGTAAATAAAAATAAAAAAACTCCCTCCAGCCCCCCAGCAGTTTGTTATGTGAAATCAGGAGACCACCCTCATTTTAAGCTGTACGTGTGGATCATTATTTAAGAAATTCTTTTCTGCCTGAGGTTTGTTTATCAAGTCAGCACCAGAGACGCGTTTTGTTAATCATTCCTTCAAAGCCGTCATTAATTTGCTGCAGTATTAGTGAGTGCCTTTTGCTTCTCCCAGTTTTGAGCAGTGCTTGTTGTAAAAACCATTGAGATCCAGGGTCTTAGAAGACATGTAAGACTTTTCGTAAAGGAAGTAAATCTTCTTTATCTGGAATATGTAATCTTTGATAGGGAAAAGGATAAAACTAGCATCTTCAAACGCGTTGCACATGCATAGTGCTCTTTCCAGTCTCAGAGACTGAGGAAGAAAGGATTCTGTTTTCATCTCCTTCACTGTGAATTCCATTATAGGGTACAGTTTTTTCTTTTAAGTGTTGCTGAGATGCACTTGGCATAGAAATTAAAATATGTAAAAGGCCCTTTTTAAGGAAACTATACTTTTTACCTCAACTGCACAAAATTCTAAATTCTATAATAATCAACACATTTCTTGAACATCTTTTATGCGCTAGCACTTGCATACACATTATTTCGCTGAATCCCCAGAACAATGAGATTATAGAGGAGCCTTGAAGTGAAGACTCGTTTGTGTGGTAGTTTAGCAGATGATGCTACTGGCATTCAAATTCAGATCTTCATACTTTCCAGTTGGGAATCCAGGTAATTGCAGGTATCTTACAAAATGAACACTAGGTAGAAAATAAAAGTGGCTGATTCCTAAGTACCAGCCTTACATTCTCTTATCCTTTCATCTCAATATGTTAACAATTTTGAGAAACCTGGAGTTCCAGGCTCATTCACCTTTACACTCATACATTCCTTGAATGGACACAGTATGAATTTGCCTGTCATGTCTTTACTCTATCCTCACTGAAGTAAGGTAACTCATCTGATTGATCCTGGCTAACAGTACATTGAAGAAGTATTAGTACATATGATAGATGCCAGAGCCGGTGGAATTCTTGACTTCCCCAAATCCTTCATTAGTGAGTAAGAGAAATGGTACCACGGGGCAGAAGTGTGCCTCAGCACAAACACATGCAAGTGTTTCAGAGGTCAGGGCTGGTCCCTGGCTGCGTTTCTGAGCATTAGCTCTGTATCCCCAGACCCTGAGGCAAGGTTGCATATAAGGCAGCTCTGGGGCTCTTCCTCTGGGGCACTTCCGTGGATGGCACCCAGCAACCAGCGACCTTTCATAGTATTTCAGACTGTGCATAAGAGTAGACCCACAACCTGGCAGTGATTTTTGTCTTGCAGTTGATGTGTTCTGTAGTAGTGCGGACATTAATTAACTAAGCTTAAACTTTCTTCATTCTATCAACTTTATTAGTCTGTGCATTTACTTAATGGGATTACTCTTCTTGTTTTTATAAATTTTTAAAAATAATAACTTTCTAAAACTCAATGTCATGGGCTTGTTTTCCTTCATTTAGCTTTTCTTAATTCTAACATGTCCATTAGTGACCAGAAAATGGTTAGATAATACTCTTAATTAGCTTTTCCTGATTCAGATTCATGCATTTACAGCTTTATCATCTAAGTTTTAGATTAACTAAAAGCAAAAGAGTTGAGTCAAAAGAGAAGTCAAGGATGAATATGACATTGATCATATCTGAAACTGCTCTAGGAACTTATTATCCTGTTCATACCGTCCTCTGATAGAAATGCATAATGTAGAATATAATCACTTATCTCTATCTTTTCAAAGCAGCTGAGAAGAATATTCTTAGCATCCCTCAATTATTCAGTGTCTTATCATCTAGTTTGAATATTAGAAATTTGCTTTCTATGGCTTAGAAAGAGTGCTCACCTTCTTAGTGGACATATACCACTCGTAGTAGGATGATTTGGAGGCAAATCACGTGATTATCAAGATGACCAATCTCGCCGGAACCAGTTTGGCTCAGTGGTAGAGCGTTGGTCTGCGGACTGAAGGGTCCCGGGTTCGATTCCGGTCAAGGGCATGTACATTGGTTGCAGGCACATCCCCGGTGGGGGGTGTTCAGGAGGCAGCTGGTCGATGTTTCTCTCTCATCGACGTTTCTAGCTCTCTCTCTCCCTTCCTCTCTGTAAAAAAATCAATAAAATATATTTATTAAAAAAACAAAAAGACCAATCTGATGCTGGAACTTATTTTCTAACTTTTAAAACTCTATACAAATACAAAGGGCCATTGTCTTATTTTCATTCCTTTGCAAACGTATTTTCCCTTTAGAAATTATTCAATATATTCTCCAACCAGAGAATAAAAAGGTTTTTGTCATTTTTATAATTGTCATTCTGTTAAATCTTTCATGATTTTAGGGTTTTGAGCTCATTAAAAAATATAACAACATTGGATGCCTTATTCTTTATTGAATATAGCAAACCTTTATTTTCTATTCTCTCTGTCATAATACATAGTAATTTCAGATTTAGAAATTTCTTTCTTCTCAGACAGGAAAATTTCATTGTTTTGGCCCTAGCTTCACCTTTAAAATGTTTGAAACTGTTTCCAAACTGTTTAAAATCATCATTAAAACTAAGGTCCACAGAAAAAAGGCTGGTCAAACAGCATATAAAAAACTAGACGCCTGCTGCATGAAATGAGTGTATGGGGCAGAAGGGGGCATCCCTCAACCCAGCCTGCACCCTCTCCAATCCATGACACCTCGGGGGATGTCTGACTGCTGGCTTAGTTGGGCATCTCTCTCACAATCTGGGACCACTGGCTCCTATCCGCTTACCTGCCTACCTGATCACCCCTAACTACTCTGCCTGCCTACCTGATTGCCCCTAACTGTCTCTGCCTGCCTGCCTGACCACCCTAACCACCTCTGCCTGCCAGTCTGATGCCCCTAACTGCTCCCCTGCTGGCCTGATTGTCCCTAACTGTCTTTGCCTACCTGCCTGCCTGCCTGCCTGCCTGATCATCCCTAACCACCCCTAACTGTCTTTGCCTGCCTGCCTGATCACTCCTAACTGCTTTTTCCCCCTCTGACCTGATCACTTCTGTTTGTTCCACCCCCAAGCCTGATCGCCCCTAACTGCTCCCCTGGTGACCCCTAACTGCCTCTGCCTCAGCCCCTACCACCGTGACTTTGTCCAGAAGGATGTCCAGAAGGTCATTTGGCTATCCAGACTAATTAGCACATTACACTTTTATTAGTATACTAATAGATGAGGCATACAAAGGAAACAGAAAGGACTAGACGTAGAAAAAGATGATGTTCTGGGTTGTCTTCAGTTTTCCCCTCTGGCATTGATCCTTTTAAAATTAGACAGACATATAAAGCAATATGTAATAAATGAATACTGGATGACACATTTTTTCTAGTTCATTAATTTTGCTTAAAATTTTAAAATGTAATAGTTTGTCCTAGAGATATTTATAGCAACGACCCTTAGCAATAGATAAGTTCTTCAGACTTAAAACCTGTCTTTGAATAGCTCAATTATGGTATGTATTGTAGTAATTTGTTCTCTTGCGTGAATCTAGTTTTTTCTAGTGATAGTCATTAACATTTAGAAGATATTTTTCTTGGAGAGTTATATGTTATATATATTTTTACAATTTTTGGGAAGCAGTCTTTATTCTTAGTTTAGCTTGTTTTTAAAACCTATTGCATTTTGTGTCTGCTTCAAAATTAAGATCCTCCAAGACACTCAAGGTTGAAACTCAGGGCTCTAGAACTTCTTTTCAAGTCTGTCTGCAAGTTGCCCCTGTGGTCTATTCTTGGAGCAGTGCCTGAGGGCATTTGAGCTGCTGCATTCCAGTCACCCTGGGGGTGTTTATTAAAATAGATCTCACCGCCCAGCCCCACACCCAGTGAGCAGTGTTTCTGGGGGTGAGGCGTGGGAATTGGCCTTTTAAACCGGCTCCCAGGAGACTGTGCATACTAAATTTTGAGATCTTGACTGCCTTTTGGTTTATGCCAGTGGCTCTGTCTTGCAGCATCATTCTTTAAAATTCAGTGAAGTCTTTTTTGGTCCTCAAAAATGTGGTGGAGATAGGCTTGAGTTGACCCAGAAGGAATGCACTTCTGTTCATTTAGCAGCCTTGTGGTCTAGGTCCTTCAAATCTAAAGTTATTTCCTTTCAATTGAGCAGCTAACAATTCTCTTCTGTGGTTTCCAGGTATTTAGGGGCACACTGATATGTTAATGATTAAGGGGGTAGAGATTGTTGCTTTTGTAAGGAAGGTGAGAGCCTATGCACTTAGTCTTAAAAAATTGGTGGACATGTTGTTCAGTGTTACATTCTTGTTGAATTTCCATCTGTTTGTTAAGAGCAAAATAGTTCTCTTGATTGAATCAGAAATACTGGAAAAGATGTTCTTAACTTGATGTCTATGGAAAGAATTCAGGAATTTGTGAACTTGAATAGGAAAGAATTTTACATTTATTTTTATTGGCCTTGTTGAAAGATAGTCATGGTGCCAATGCAATCATGAAGCAGCATGGCTGTGGAAGAGTATGGCTGAGAGGTGGCCTTGGGGTGAGGCAGCCCTGGGGCAAAGTCCCTCTCCAGCTACAAAGCTGTGATTTGCCTGCTCTGCACCACTTGACTCTGTGCTGGTCTGCTGTATCCTGCTCTGCCTGTGCTTCTCCATTTCAGTGACTTGAAATGTTTTTAGTGTTTTGTCTTTGGTGTTTCAACTCCAGCTGGAAAATGCAGTCTTCTGTGGAAAGGGAAATGTATTCTCTGAACCAGAGGGGAGCTTACTTATATTGGATGCCTAAAGAATAAAGCATCCAATATTGTGGTCCCTAATTGGTCCATCCTCATGCAAAGGAAGGTTCCAAATCTTCACTGTTTGACTTGTCCAAAAAGCACTGTCCTAATTGGTCAGGGAAGATGTTAATGAGGATATAGCTATGTGCTCTGATTGGACAAACAAATTCTCAGTTCTGTTGGCTGAAAGATGATTCCAGGAAATCCTTTGTAAGGGTTGGCTACATGATAGGAATACAGTGCAGGCAGGCAGTTTGGTACAGGTTTCTCCCTAAAGCATAGCTTACACGAGAGACTTCAATTTAGAAACAGCTGTTAGGCTCTGTTTTTAAATTCGAGCTCAGCCATTATTAATCCTTCTTGACACGTATATTTTTTTCTCAGAGTTTACAACACCAACTGAAATTTAGCATTTCCTTCAATTATGAATGGAGGCCACAAACCACAGTAGTTTGTAAATCTCTACCTGGGATTTTTATTGCCAAAAGAAAGGTCTTTTCATATCCTATTTTTTGTTGTGATATATATCTCAAAATATGGCATCCCTACACTATATAATAGTTATTAGACCAATTGCTAAAACTTGTTATATAAATCCTATGCTATTGCATCATATTTTAAAATTACTTTGGTGACTGAGTTCTCAATATAATTGATTTCTGTTGAAACCTTATATATGTTATTTTAAGCATTTGTAAATATTCTGAGGAGGAGTCCATTAGCCTCACTAGACTACCAAAGGGAATCAAGTACAAAAAAATGGATAAGAACACCAATTTAGATCTTGTCTAGGATCTTTTCATCCTAAACCATCTTTTTTTTTCTTTTTTGAGATATTTCTCTTAAATGAACTATTTTTTCTATTCTTATAGTCATCTCATCATTCTTTTTTGTTTGTTTGTTTTTCACTTTAGCTGACTCCACTGGAACCCATTCTCTATACACAACATACAAAGACTATGAAATTATGTTCCATGTTTCTACCATGCTGCCATACACACCTAACAACAAGCAACAGGTAAGAGATCCTTGTGTTCTCTCTGTTTCCTCACCCTTGTTTCATTTTCTCCAGAAGCCAGGGTAGCAAGTTTGTAAAATCTTAAACCAGAATTTAATGTTGCACCTGTCACAGCAGCAGGAAACTTTGTACATTGTGGAAATAAGGAATAGCAAATGAGCCGAAAACAAATGAAGAGACACAAATTCTAGTTTAACAGCCAGCTGGGTGGCTTTGTGAATTAATCGTTTGCTTTTCACCCATGGGGATTGATGTTTTCACGAAATCTGAAGAGAACAAGTTGAAATCATGGTGATTAGATGACTCTGCAGGGTTGCAAAGAATGTATATGAGTGGGTGAAGTTTCATCTCAAAAGGCCAATGTACAAAGCAGGAAATATTGGTGTTTCATTTCCTATTGCAAAGGAGGTTTGGTATACTAACAAGAAGAAAAAAAGAATAACTGTCAATGAGATATCAGAAGAATGTTTTTCCTTAACATGTTTGTTAGATAACGAGGAACATAAATAGCAATTGCATTTGTGTATGTCATACACAGTTTTTTTTAAAAAAAACTTCTAAACAATGCCTATTACTAAAATGTAGCCACTGAGAAACCACAGTGTTAGGAAGTGACAGATTGTTCAGAGCAAAATGGAAACTGGCAGTATTGTTTTAGAGTATATAGTTGTTGTTGTTGTTTAAGAAATATTTCAAAATAAATGACACCAAACTAAAATTTGAAAGAACTTTCCTCTCAATAGCTATTATAAACACAAGCAGCCCAGTGTTACTTCTGACCTTAAAATGGATATGGATTTTGTTATTGCCAGTTGTACTAACAGAGCACAGGCCTGCTGCAGAATGAATCACATCCTCTTTCATAGAATTTACCCAAACACAGATCTAATCTAACACTTCATCATGTTAGCTGTGATTAAATCACAAATGTGGGTAATAAAGTTTTGCTCTTATGATTACCAAAGTAATCAAAACTAGGAAGCAAAGCAATAAATCAGTTTTGACTCTGAAATAAACAAATTTTAAGATAAATTCCCGATCTGGAATTTGTTGACAATTTGATTTATGCAAATTCCAGTTCTAGATTTCTCTAAGAGGAAAACATCATGCTAAGAAAAATATACTAAACTTATTTTAGCTAGTCAATAGACAAAAACATTTAATAACATTGACAAAGGATCTATAAAAGGGGAGATAAAGGCTTATTCTACCTAGTTATTCGGTAGAGAAAGGTAAGGAGGTGTTGGTAAAAATATTAAGTAACAAAATTCATTTAATTGTTTATTTCAACTAAATGAGTTGAAATGCTGAGCAGAGGGAGTTGGCATTTAAATGGACAGCTATCTAAATTATGTAATTTTAGAGTCCAATCAAGGCAAATGTATTATGTACCTAAATCAGAATGAAAGAGTAATTGATATTACATATTAAATAATTTTACTTTTTTTGCTAAACTTCGTATTTCTTCTATATAGATCACTTTATGCTTGGGGGAAAAAAACAAAGCAAAGAATGTATCTTTTTAAATCTTCTTGCAGTAATTTGTTTATAAATACTTTCATTATATTTTATGTGAGATGGATAGATTTATTTCTTCTTGGGCCCTTTATTAAGACATTATTATTATATATCAAGCCATATTTTAAAGAAAGAATGTATCAAAAGACAATGACATCATGTATGCAGGAATAACATAATATACAGATTGTGTTTTTGCTATGTCTGTGACCCTGAGTAGATTAATAATCTTTAATAATGAGTATATTCTGTATGACAATTAATACAGACCAGCCTTTATTTCTGTAACATCTGATGTTACATCATGTTCAGAAATGAAGTTAATGGCCTCATTAGAAGATAATTTGGGATGCTTTGAAATTCCTAAGGTTAAAAGTACATTTCCTGAGCATTCTAACTCCCCATTCTCAACCCTAATCTAAAAGGCTATTGTTTCTCCCAGCTGGCAGCCAATACTAGATCATTGATTTTGCTGGTATATAGTTTATATATGTTAAAGTCACTGGAGAATTGTTTTAAAATTTTGTTAAGTGCAAGCTTGTGCCTAATGGTGGATAGTTTAGCCCCAATGTTTCTCTCTCTCTGTCTCCTCCTCCCTTCCACTCTCTCTCTGAAAATCAATGGAAAAATATTCTTGGGTGAGGATTGACAAAATAAATAAATAATGGTAGATAGTTTATATAAATGTCATATTACTTTCCTTTTTACAAAAGCCTCAATATAATATGGAAAATCAAAATGTGTTTAGTTTTTCTTCACATTATTGATTTAAACATTCTAATAAACCTCTCTTGAGAAGGCACTGGCCTAGGATGATCCGGGTACCTGAGTTTGAAAGCCACCTTTCCAAAACACCATGTAATGTGAAACAGAAGATGATCTGAAATACCTTTCTCTGTAATTAAAAGAGCTATTTAACTTGAAATTTAACTTGCTTTTAAATTCTTACATCATTCTGGAATATTGTTAATTTCCACATTCCCAGCTTGTGACACCAAAAGTATATCTGAAAACACCTTAGTCACGTTTCCGTAAATGATCCTAATTAAACCAGAACGTAAATTGTGTTGTAATTACATCAGCCATTCTCATCTCTAAAAAAATGTTCTCTACGGCAAGTTCCTTTCTTACATGAAAGTGGAACAAAACTGTTGTTATGGAAACTAAGAATTTAGAGATGCTGGGACTTGGCATAATATGCCAGATATTGGATAGATCTATTTGAATGGAATACGCGCGCGCGCACACACACACACACACACACACACACACACATATATTGCAAATTTCAGAATATTCATTTTCACATTCTTCCTTGTAGGGAATGATAAGACACAGGCTAAAATATTGACAATGACTGCGTACAGTACCTACCCTAACATGGACTGGTTCATAATGAATGTTTTAAATGCTCTTACATGAGGAAACTGAGGAGGTAGAAGCCAGGTGTTGTCATTTAGGTTGGTTGCTTATTTTTTCTTTCAGCTCCTACGGAAGCGGCACATTGGAAATGATATTGTAACAATTGTTTTCCAAGAGCCTGGGGCACAGCCATTCAGCCCGAAAAACATCCGCTCCCACTTTCAGCACGTTTTCGTCATCGTCAGGGTTCACAACCCCTGCACGGACAGTGTCTGCTACAGGTATTAACACTGCGCAGTAGCTTGGTGGGCATTGGCTGGGTCACACACAAGGCCCCTCCAGCTCCACTCTCTGAAGGGGCCGTGGGAACTCTTTTACTATTTGTTTTTGCCTTTAAATTGTGCCAGTGGATGGTTTAATTCACACGATGACGTAACCTGATGGCATTGACATTTCCCAGACGTGTTTGGTTAGACACCTGCCGTTTCTATTTGCACTTCCTCCTTAGGTGGTATCCTTCATCCATGCCATCTGGTTCCCAACTAATTTACTCGTACTGCTAATTATACTTTGTTTTTGGTGTGGCAAGAGTGAGAAGAATGATCATAGTTAGTAGAAAAAGTTGTTTTGTTTGTTTTTATAATCACTAAATATTTAAAAAGCCCAAATCCTTGCTTAGGACTGATTCATTCTAACATTTCCACCTGCAACCTGCCAGGCATTTCCAGGCTTGGTTACACATTTGGTGGAGTTGTTTCAGTGTCCCTCACAGACCCAGGCTTACGAGTCTCAGAATCCAGGCCTCTGTCCAGAGAGGCCATGGCGAGAATACAGGAGGGGTTGGTGATGAGGACAAGATGCTGGGTTGACAGGGGCATAGTGCCAAGAAGATGTGGAAGGATATTCCAGTTCAGTAAGATGCTTCTAATGTGAATCTATCCTTTCAAAATATGAAATTTTATCATATCTTAATCCCTAAAATTTGGAAGATGCCGCTTTGTTTATTTGGTTTATTTGTTTTTGAATTAATACAGCCACCTATGAAGGAAGTAGCAACACAGACTGGGAGTTGGATTGTGGTGAGATCCACAACTGTCTAACTCCAGGAATGATGCAAATTAATTATAGGCGTAGAGCTAGCAAGTTCAGGGAACAAAACAAGTAAAGGTTACTCTGGACTAATGCTGGCTGCCACCATCCTTGCACATTCCGCATTAACTGCGTTCTGTGTTTGCTTTCTTATTACAAGCCCCTAGGCACTTCACATGTATTCATTCATTTAAAAAACCTATGAGGTCGGTACTGTTTTCATCCCCATTTTCAGATGAGCAAACTTAAATGCCCAAAGAGAGAGAGCTTGACTGGGTCTGCTGGTCCTGGGCAGAGCTGAGGTTCACACATACTGCGTCTGGTTCCTAAGCCTAGTCTCAATGCCTCACTCCCATCCATGTGAAGCAGGTCTTTGTGGCCCTGCTAGTGACATGCCAGCTATTCCAGAATGTTTCAGGTGCCAGCCCTGCATGAAAACCCAAGAATTCTTGGTTTCCTAGGCTCAGGGTGGAAATGCAAACACAGAAGGCCTAGATCTGAAACCTCTTCTCAAGAACTTGGCCTCTGAAAGCTGCATCAGTTAGGTGTAGAGTGAGAAAGCATAGGGCATTGATGATGATGGGATGGGTAACTGCATTTAGATAACACTCTACACTCTTGAAGCATACTATGTGCTGGGTTCATGCGAAGGATTTCATGCTACTTTGAACGCTAAATCCTTGTGAATGGTTTTTAAGAGAAACTACCTAGGTTCCCACTCCCCAAACTTCCTAGTGACCATTCTCAGGGTTTAGCTTTTAAAGTAGCATGAAATCCTTTGCATGAACCCAGTACACAGCATGCATTTTCTATATCTTGTTACTTTAAAATACAGGGCTATTACATATATAAAATTAATGTGTGGCTTGCCTTTGTCTAAATAAAATGCTTTCCCACTGAAATATAAGGAAAGCATTTATTTAGACAAAGGCAAACCACACATTAATTTTATATGTGTAATAGTCCTGCTTTTTTTTTTTAAAGTAACAAAATTTAGGTAAAATTTTGACGATATGTGATTTTGACCCAATAATATATTTAATTTACCTGATAATACTCCAAATATTATTTCAACTAGTAATTTTTTAATTTTAAAATTGTTGAGATAGTTTATAAGTTTGTGGACTAAAACTTGGAAATAAATCTAGGCTACAGTTTAGACTTACTGTTTATCTCAGGATGCTTACTTTTCATTGGAAATAATCTGCTTTTAGATTTCATAGAACTTGCAGTTGGAAAAGTAGACTCACATACTCAGATTTTTCTAAACATGCAAGCTTTCAAATAGGTGAGTTGATCAGTTTTTAGAATTTAGTATAATGTAATACTCCTTGGTCACAGTGGCCATCTGTGGATCTCAGTAGCCACATGTGCAAGTCTAAACAGTTGGCTGGATGAGGAGGTGACATCTGTTTTATTCTTATCAAGCCTGCACCCCACCTCCAGCCTGAAGATCATGATTTTTGCTTTCTTTTTCTTATTTTTAATTTGTCGCCTGGATCTTAACCCACCATGTCAGGCTGGGAGCCTCTGTAGGACACTGCACTCCCCTGCTGGTCACATGGGTGAGTTAGCCTGGAATTTCCTAGTGGCCAAACATGTCTGAAGGTTCAATTCATTGCATATAAACTGACTTTTGCCCTTCTGTAAATCCAAGCCAACACATCGGTTTATAACATCACTGAAGGAAATTACAAGAAACAAAAATGTCATCTTTTCCTATTGTAAACTTGGGACGCATTAACTTTTCTCATTTCTTCTCCAGCGAGGTAGGCATGTTTCCTGGGGTATGTGGTGAGGTCAGGAGAGATTTCAAAGCCCAGAATAAACAGGGCACTTCCTGTGTGCCTTTAAAGCTTAGGGAAATGGGTGGGAAGGGGTTTATTTTCTCATGAAAAATGTTATGTAGTAGCATAGAGATTTGTATCAATTTTAAGATAAAATGTGGGTCTTCAAATAATTTTTATACCTGTGAGTTTTTCTCATACACCAGCCTCTCCCCAAACTCCTAGGGATATGATTTTATAGGCCTCTTGCATTAGGAGTACTCTGATTGAAAATTATGGTGCTACTTGACTTATACTAATTTTATTTAGTGTTACTTATACTAATAGTTATTACATTTTATTTATTTAAAGTTATGTAAATATCACTACATGATGTAGAGTAATCGGACTGCCTTTTGTCATTTAAAAGCTCTTGTTCCCAACTTTCCCCCCTGTGAGCACTCTCATTTATTTACTGATGTCTACTCGGTATCTGTGCTGTGGTAAGTTTAAGAGTGGTTTCTTCAAAGGAGCTTCTTGCTATAATTGTATAGAAGAATGTGAGCTCAGTATAGGCTGAAGTTACAAGGAGCGTTTAATGAGAAAATGAGCTTTAGTGAGTGTTCCAAAGCTCAGATGGATGGAATTCAGTGGGGAAAAGAAATAATGCCAGGAGTGCAGCATACACTGAAGTGCAATCACAGGAAGGTGGAAAATACAGTGAGAAGGCTACTACTGTAGGAAAGCTTACTAGCCAGTGGAGGCCCTTAGAACTCTGGGCCATCAAATAACACTGAACAAGTAAACAGAATGTTAAGACGATTTAGCCAATGTAACATACAGGGTAATCTCAAAAAGACAAGTTTGGAGCTTATTGTTATTCATTTATTTTTCACCAGTTTTTGTCATATATATGCTAGGTACTATTCTAGGCCCTGGGATGCAACAAGGGAACCAAGAGAGAAAAATCCTTTTAGAAGATAGGGAATGAGGCCCTGGTCTCTCTCTCTCTGAAAGTTTCCATAGGAAAAACTGACTCATTCAACTAATCCCAGAGCCAGGTGACCTTGAGTAGTAGACAGCTAGGAACTAAGAAATTTATCACTAAGTCTGTATACTTAAGCTTGTGCCATACCTGATAAGAGAGCCCTCTGGTCTCTCTTATTTTGTTTATATTACTACCATGAGTATAATTGTCTGGTCTAGTTGATGGCGCAGATTAGAAGCAACAATTCAAGAAGATAAAGGAGCAATTTAGTGACCAGGATGTTTTGAAACATCAATAGGTGATTACTGATAAGAGAGATGCAGAAAACTATTCACATCAAAAATACAAATTCAATAAGCATTGCAAACTAAGGACACTTGGTTTGAGAACAACCAAATATACTTCACTCACTCTGAGGGCTTCAGTTTGCATAAACAGTGAAAAAAAAATTTTTTTTCACCATTCATTAACAACTAAGGAATTAATGGATCTAGACATTAAATGTGAAAGGCTGCTGCAAATATCATCAAAAGAGATAAATATGTGTTGCATAAGGGGAGAACATAATCCCATGTTTGAATTAGTCCTATCCCTTCTGTCCCTCCAAAATTGAATCTGAATCCAGCCAAACCTCTAGAGAAGCCAATTACAGAAAATACAAAAGACAGAGGGTGCTTGTTTTAGCATGATCCAGACTCTGGACAACTTTTTGTGATAAACAGCCTAATTTCTATAATCAGTAAATTGCAGGGAAAAAAGAAAAAGACAAGTGGAGGGGAATAAACAACAACAAAAAATTTTTTAAGATGAAATTAATTACTTGCAATGTGTGGGCCTTATTTGGATCAATTGAGAAAAAAAGACTTAATAAGTCTTAGAATGTCTTAAGCAATTGAAAATTGGAACATTGACCCACTTTTTGTGAAATTAAAGAATTATTCACTTTAGAACTCGTATAGTAATGTGTTCATAACAATGATCCTGAGTCTTTGAAATAAATGTTAATTTATGGTCATAACTATATTTAGGAAGGTAGAAATCTGTTTTTCCTCTCAGAAAGATCTCCATATCCAGTGGTTAAAATGTAATGCATGTTGAAAGGAGTGAGTGTGATGTAGCTCAAAAAGCACTTGGAATCAGACCAGATTGTTCAGCCTCTCAGATCTTAAATTTCCCTTCCTGTGCATGGAAGGGTGCTTGACATCTAGTTAAATCCCTTAAGTAAAGTATCTCATGTAGGCGGGAGTGTGGTACACCCACATTAAATGCCCCTTTCCTTTCTTCTCTTGAGTAAAAATAAACATGCCAGCTTCAGCTAGCGGGAAAATCAAAGTGGATCAAGTGGTGGAAATGTCTTTCAGAAAGTCTATTCCAAGCCATAATTAATTAGCATTCCTATTGTCCAGTGTAGCTGCACTTTCTAAGACAAAGATCTGAGTGTGTCCTCTTCGTGTGTACCTAAACCATTTAGGGAAAAGTTCAGGCTGCCTGGCAAAGCCTGCAGCTCAAGTCCTGCTGATCTGGCCTCTCCTGTCTCCCAGCCTCCACTGGCACCTCCACCAGTCCTCTACTAACCCTCCTTACCCCCCTCCCCATTTCATTCTTGAGACATGTGGAGCTACTTACAGCTCCCAGAACATACTGTACTCTGTCCCTCCACTGCACGTGTTCCTCTCTGGGCAGGAATGCCTCTCCTTGCACACACCCCTGCCCCTCCTTCATCTGATGAATTCCTGCTTTCTTTTCTCTGGAGTGTTCCTCTTACCTCCCAGGACTAGCAACAGTGCCTTTGCTAGTGTTTCCAGTGCACCCCACAACTCCCAGGGGAGCATGCAACCACTGGATGTAGCGCCCACCAGACTTGGAGCTCCTGGAGGGCTGAGCTTATGTCATCTCATCCTTGATCCTCAACATCAGCCCAGTGTCTATCGGGTGCTCGAGAGCTGGCTAGTGAATGCTACGGGAAGTCGAAAGCCCCAGGGAGGGAATGATGGGCACACATTTGCTTTCCACTGTCTTTTCTGTCCTTTGCCCAGCTCTGCTTTCTCTTTCTAGGAAGCTCACCAGCTGGAAATCTGCCAGGCTCAAAGACTGGGAAACTCCCTCTGTTTTAATGCTACATCCCCTTCCTTTTAAATTTTGGGCTAGAAATTTACTGCTGTTCCCATGGTGTTTCAAATGTCCAGGTGTCTTATTCTCACTTTTTTTTCCATTGGGGCTTCTGTTCAGTTGTGTCTGTAACATTCCCAACTTGAAATTGGTTCTGGGTGTCAAGTAGTGCTACTTTTTCCAAGGTCTTTGATGTCAGCAAATGTTACAAGGTCCAGACTCACTATAAACCGCCTTTGGGTGGTCTCTTTGCCATGTGACTCTTATGGATGGACCCTTTTGCAAGTACCTCAAGACTGGAAAGTTTAAATTGTTCTTTCAGGGGAAGTTAGGGTGGTCTTGTCATAGAGCAGGCTCTCAGCTGTCCAGAAGCTCGGATTCCAATCCTGGCTCTCCCTGACAAGCTCTGGGCAATGGTTCCACTTCTCTGGTCTGTTTCCCGGAGAAAGGAAGAATCCATACCAGCTGTTCAAACGCAGGTCCAAGGATATGTCAAATGACCGAGTAAGACACAGAGCACCTTCCTGGTCCCTCGGGCTATTCCAAGATTTTGTGTTAAAGGGAACATATTTTTCAGTAGACTGTAAAACCAAGATGAGTTTTAAGAAGAAACTCAAGATTTTATTGGCAGAGTTTGAGGAACATTGAATTCTCCAAGTTTTCTTTCCATCCAGTGTTCACTTTCTGAACTTCTGTCTGTCTATCTTCTAGATAACTCTCTTGAGTAGAACATCCTAGTCCTCCACAATATTGAGTAAATAGGCATGGCTATAGTTTTAAAGAATGCATTCTAAGGAGATGCAATATCGCATACAAGGCAAATGTGAGAATGCCACGCAGAAGCCCTTTGGGATCTGCTATTTAAAAATAGCAAGAACATTTATAATTAATACATTTTAAGTGTCTATATACAGCAAACTGAAATTCTGGAAAGGCTTCTTTTCCTACAGAGGCAAAATATTCTTCCTACTTAGCCTCAGGCAACCTTATTGTCAGCGTTCAGAATTTGTGGTACTTAATGACCTCTTAACCTTGCAGAAAAGTTAGATTTACCCAAAAACAGAACCCTTTATTTGAAAAGAGCATGTTAGGGTATTATCTTCCTCCTCTTCAGTAAAGATTCTATTTCTAATGGTGCAAAACTGACTTTATTGTCTGTATCATTTGCCTCCCTACCCCGATGAATCAGTGATAATTATAGGTTAAGGATTCGGTTCTTTTTCTCATAGTTTATTCTAGAGGCTTCTAATTGTTGGTGGGTTTACAGTATGCTTGTCTCAAGTTCTATCTGTTAATAAATAGATCTGTAGGAAGCCAGTGAGTATAAGAGGTAAGTGGATGGATGGTGCTCATATTCACACCCCCTCCTAAGCATTTTCCTCTCCTTATTTAAAATAAAATCACAGCTGCTTCTTGAGGAAAAAAAAAAAATAATGATTTGAAGTGAAATTAGCCAGAAAAGAAATTGCCAATTTAAAAATGAAAGATGTTAAATATTTCTGGATCCTCACAGGATTCCTCTTAGAAAAAGGAAGCAAATCTGGATTTTAGCATCTTTTGCTTGACTTAAAAAAAAAAAAAAAAAAAACATAACGTGATCAAATTTAAATTATACAGCTGTCAGTATTCAAGCCAGAGAGTTCACAGGAGACAAGAAAAATTGCCTCTCTGATACTCGCATAATTAGGCTATACCATCGATACATATGGAGGTTTCTTCACATTCTCTTCTCCAGTTAGAAAATGGAGTGTTGCTTGCTACTTTGTCATGAAGTGAACTAGATGCTCTTTAAAAAATAATAGTAAACTTCTGAAAAGCAACAAGTAGTCCATTTGGTGGCATTTTCTGACAAAATATATAAATTGTGTCCTGAAGTTATTGTTTTTAATTATCCTATTTTGACAAGAATCAAATTTTTTTTTTTTTTTTGAAAAGCAAAGCCATGCTCTGTTGGTGCATTCGTTGGTTAGAACATCAGCCAGTGCACTGAAGGGTCCCAGGTTCGATTCCTGGTCAAAGGAATGTACCTGGGTTGCAGGTTCAATCTCCAGCCATGTATTGGCGTGTGTGGGAGGCAATAGATGTGTCTCTCTCACATCAATGTTTCTCTGTCTCTTTTCCCTTCTGATTCCTCCCTCCTTTCTACTCTCTCTAAAAATCAGTGGGGGGTGAGAGGAGAGGGAGATATCTTCGGTTGAGAGTTAACATAAATAAATGAATAAGAAAAGAAAAGAAAAGCCAAATATATATATAAATATAAAATAATGAAACGGAGCTCTTCAATTTATTTTGAAAAATGCATGCTCTCCTTTCCATTCTGGGAGTTCAGAAGGAACAGATTTTCTATTGATTTTCTATTGCTTTACAATTGCATAATTGACTTACTTTAAATAATTGGGTAATTTAAAAAGAGGGATATTTGATCTGCTAGAGTTATCATTTCCAGCCCTCTCAAACTTTGCTGAGGCCTTGGATGAGACCTTGGGACATGATATAAAACACACAGCCTTTTTGTTTTTATTTCACTCCTGTTGTTCTTGTTTTAGGAAATGTGTTTTTCCTTTTACAGATTCTTGTATGGTCCTTAGGCCCACTTTTAGCAATGTAAGGAGAAGTGACAAACAGGCTTTCTTTAGTCAATTTTGCTTAAAAGGAATGAGAAAATGAAAACATTCTCCTCACAAAAAAATTATCAAACACCAAAAATAGAGAATGTGGACCAAAGAATAGCTCAGTTTGAAAATAAGACTTTAAAGCATTGTTGCTATTAATATTCTAAAGATCAAAGTCATTTTAATACCTTACTCAAATGTCAATTTTCATTTTTAACTTATGTTTTTGATTTGGTGGCATAATGCCTGATGCATAGGCCAACAAGTAATGTTTGTTTAGTTTAAAAAAAATTTTAATACATCCCTCTTATGTCATGCATCTTTTTGTATTTTCATGATAAGCTATTTGCTTATGAGCATCATATCTAAAATGGAAACCACACTAATGTTCTTACAGAATCTGTACTTGTTCTGAATGGTCATGTGATTATACTAACTCTCCTGGGAAAGAATCAGTAGATATTTAAAATACTGTCTTTTATGGAGAATAGTCAGTAATTTTTATTTCATGGAGTTATATTAGGTTTACCATTTATTAATGAAAAGAATATTTTTGCTTTAAGTTTTTGGGAGGTTTTATGGCCTGGAAAAAAATTGTCCTATAACTTCTAAATGTGGTTGAATGAAACAAAAAGTGTGCATTATTTCTTGGGAAGCAGTGACCGTTATTTTCCTTTCAAGGGATTTCTTTATCTTTGAGAAAGTGTGTTTTATTCTCATGCTTTGAGACTGCAAAGTGTTAACCAACCTTTTCCTCTTTGATCTTAGTGTGGCCGTCACCAGGTCCAGAGATGTGCCTTCCTTTGGACCTCCCATCCCCAAAGGGGTTACTTTCCCTAAGTCAAACGTGTTCAGGGACTTCCTTCTGGCCAAAGTGATAAACGCAGAAAACGCTGCTCACAAATCAGAGAAGTTCCGGGCCATGGCGACTCGGACGCGCCAGGAATACCTGAAGGATCTGGCCGAAAAGAATGTTACCAACACCCCTATTGACCCATCTGGTAAATTCCCGTTCATCTCCCTGGCTTCCAAGAAGAAGGAAAAGTCTAAGCCGTACCCAGGAGCTGAGCTGAGCAGCATGGGGGCCATCGTATGGGCCGTCCGCGCTAAGGACTACACCACGGCCATGGAAATAGACTGCCTTCTTGGGGTCTCCAATGAGTTCATCGTCCTCATCGAACAGGAAACAAAGAGCGTGGTTTTCAACTGTTCCTGCAGAGATGTGATAGGGTGGACTTCAACCGACACCAGCCTCAAAATCTTCTATGAGCGAGGAGAGTGTGTCTCAGTGGAGAGTTTCACTAACAATGAGGATATCAAGGAGATTGTCAGAAGGTTGCAGGTGAGCCTTTCCTTCCATAACCCACGTGCACTTTCCCTTTGACAGAACTTCCAGGACAGACTAGAGCCACGTCCCTGAGGCTCGTGCTTTTATCAGCTCCTCTGAAAAACCCCTTGACACTGTGAAGCAACACCACGTTTACATGACATTCATTCCCCATCATTTTTTCAGAAAGAGAAACAGTAAGTCAGGGGAAGACACACTTAACTGTGTGTGTTGGAAACCATGGTGTGATCCCACTGCCTTGGTGACCTATATGTAGCTCAGCCAGTCTGCCTCCGTTGTTGAAAAGAATTGTTTGATTGGGTATCTGCTGCCTTGAGTGTTTTTTGTTTGTTTGTTTATTTGTTTTATATATTTTATTGATTTTTTACAGAGAGGAAGGGAGAGAGATAGAGAGCTAGAAACGTCGATGAGAGAGAAACATCGACCAGCTGTCTCCTGCACACCCCCTCCCGGGATGTGCCCACAACCAATGTACATGCCCCTGACTGGAATCGAACCTGGGACCCTTTAGTCCGCAGACCGACGCTCTACCACTGAGCCAAACTGGTTTCGGCTGCCTTGAGTGTTTTTAAGGACAAAACAAGTAGTAGAATATGGTTCTCTGGGCTGCCAGCTCCCTGTGGGTCTCTGTTAGAGGTTTCCTTGTTACTTCGGTGAAGCTATTGAGGTCCTTGGATGCAACAAATATGTTCCTTTCGGCCTAATGATTGGGCCAGTGAAGGGGAAACAGCCAGACCGCTTTGTGGCTGACAGCAGAGTATTCAGAAGTGGCCCTGTTTGCAATGTGCTGCCAGTTCGTGTCCACTACTTAGTCCCGCTTCATTAAACCACGCTCTTTTATTTCCTTGACTAGTTCGTGTCAAAAGGCTGTGAGTCCGTGGAGATGACTCTGCGAAGGAATGGGCTAGGACAGCTTGGTTTCCACGTCAACTACGAGGGCATCGTGGCCGACGTGGAGCCCTACGGCTATGCCTGGCAGGCGGGGCTGAGGCAGGGCAGCCGGCTGGTGGAGATCTGCAAGGTGGCGGTGGCCACTCTGAGCCATGAGCAGATGATCGATCTCCTGAGGACGTCCGTCACGGTGAAGGTCGTCATCATCCCCCCGCACGATGACTGCACCCCTCGGAGGTAGGTCTGCCTGGGCAGCTGGGCCTGAGGGCGCGGGGCTGGGTCTGTGGTGGAAGTCTCCTGGGGATGGGGCGGAGGCTGCGGGAGCACTAGGTTACATGCTACACTGCCGTTCCATCCACGGCAAGTCTGATTCAGGACAGCTCCCTCTCGGCATGTGGCGGCAGCAGCTGGAAAGAATGACTCACTTGGACTGTTCCCAGGATTTACATCTCTCAATTTATGAAGTTGCTGTTCCAGATAGAGAAGTCTGGTAATAGCATCTCAAACATCTTGCACCAGTAGCTGAGAATCAGTGCACACTTCACAGTAGAAGGCGCTCAGCATCGCAAGCTGTCAGGCTTTTTTCTCTTATGTTGCATGACACTCGTTCTTAGGAATCTCTCATTTGTACCCAATTGCTGTCCAAAACTCAAAAGTGCTGTTCTGACCCGGCTCTCTCCGCCTGGAGGGCGGAACGTGACTGACCGGGCTTTCTCTTAACTTCATCCGTGTGCCAGGAATTGGCTTTCGATGAGCTGATCTTGCTCTCGGTTCTTTGGCAGTTGGTTCCAGCCTTTCCCCAAAGGGAAGCCCGGGAGCTCCCGCCCTCCCAGCTCCTGCCACGCTGGCAGCGCGGGTGAAAATTCAGTCTCTCAGTCTCTGGGGAGGTTTCTTGATGGAGCAAATTTAATCAACTGTTACTTTTCTCCTTTGGGCACACACATGCTATTTTTGCTAGTTTGTTTTTTTAATCTGTTAATTTGCTTTGAACTCATTATTTTCTAAGAGTTTCTCTTAATATTCATTCTTTATTGGTCCTCCCTCCCCCCCAAAAATATGGTCTGCACCTGCACTCTCACAGATGCATGAACCTCACGTGGTAGAATATATGAACAGTTATGATGGGTCATTGATGTCCTTTAAAAATAAGCAGCAAGGACAACCTAAATGTACTCAGGTTATCAAACCAAACATTGCAGGCCAGACTGTGATAGTATTTCTTAATACTGCTTCCCTCCTGGATGGTTTGGAGCAGCAGTCACCAACTTGTGGTCTGTGGACCACTAGTGGTCCATGAATTCCGAAAGGTTGGCAGCCGCTGGTCTAGAGTATGCACCTATGTGAAAATATGCTGAAATCCCTTTGTCTGACCGCTTTAAGAAATGCTCCGTTTTGCCAGGCTGGGGTGGCTCAGTGGTTGAACATCAGCCTTTGATTACTGGTCAGTGCACATGCCTTGGTTGTGGGCTCAATCCCCAGTAGGAAGCATGCAGGGGGCAGCTGATCGATGTTTCTCTCTCATCGATGTTTCTTTCTATCCCTCACCTTTCTCAAAAAATAAAAAAAAATCAGTAACAATTTTTTTTAAAAGAAAGAAAGAAATACTCCATTTTGGGTGACTAGATTTCTCTAGAAATCAAAATATATATTTAGAACTTTTTATTTCAGCTATATTGGCGGGGGGGGGCGGTAAATATTCTGAAATTCCCTTGCACACATATCCTGCCTTTAGGTGGGCCAGGTCTTCTCTACCTTCTCAAGCACATCAGCATTGAGGGGTCAGCATTCTGCTGAACTGGGACTCGAGGCGGCTCTTGGGGTGCGTCAGAAAGGCAGCGAGGGTCCTGCGAGCTCTCCAGCTGCTCTGCTCTCCTCCCTTTGGCTATCTGTCTGCTGTCCCTTGTAGATTGATCTCTCCTGTAGATTGCCTATTTTATTGTCTCTGAACAGGCAGCCATAAATTGGAGAAGCTATCCAAGCTTTGTGACTTGTCCACTTTAATCACACACGGTACAGTTATCACTGCTGGTCTGAGGACTAATCTCCTCAAAAGGAAGCCTGGGGGTGTTTGCTCAGAGATCTTTCCCCTTGTTTCTAGTCCCCAGTTTGTCTTGGGGGCAGGAGAGGGGAGCGGGTGTGTGAGGAAACAGGTTGGAGCGGGAACATTGCTGGCATGGGTTGTGGATAGTGACTAAAAAGATGGGTCCATGATAGGAGGTGGCTATGTACTGTTACATACCAGGCTAGCTATGCCTTCTGTGGTGCGTTGGCAAAACAACATTGGCTGCATATTTAATATGCCAAGTCCTGAAGAGCACTTTCATGTGGATTAGTGCATTTAATCTTTATAACAACCTTGTGAGGTAGTACCATTAATATTTTTTCTATTTAAAGGAAACAAAGACTCAGAAAGGTTAGTAGTGTCCTAAGGTCATCATTAAGTTTTACTTGCAAATCCAAGCTCTTAATTGCTATTTGTATGCTCGGGGTACAAACCCCACACACCAGGATAAGTAGGGACTTGTGGGTGTCCTGGCTTTCTGTGGAGGAAGAATCTTGGTTTGGAACATTTGCTAATTCCTGTGGTGTAAATACTCCCATTGCAGCCAATTTTAAGCTATTTTCTTGACCCCACTGAATGCAGAGTTGGGATACAGGCTCACAGTTCACACTTGCAAACCAGGACAGCGGCTCCCACCCACCCTGAATGAATGATCCGTATTTGTCCTCACACTGCTTCTAAGTCACTAGTTCATCCTCTCCTAGCCTGTAAGCTCTGGTGGTGACAGGGCATCAGGGTGCGGGGAGAGAGGGAGGGTGCGCATACTGCACAGCCCATAGCCTGCTGGCCAGATGGACACTCTGCTCCTTTCACTTTCACTACAGTTCCCATCCAAAATGCCCTCAGGCCTTCTGAGCAGGTGAGATGTGGTGCCATCCATGTCTTTGCAGGACTGCAAGTCCTTTTCGCCCCACTCTCCCTTAGACCAACTTCAAAGGAGCAGTTGAAGCATTAACACCTTGCTATGATTTTTTAGCAAAATGAGAGAATTCTCTTCTGTCATTTTTCTTCTTCTCCTCCGCACTTCACACTCCCACTGCTGTTTTCCCAGCGACTAATGACTCTCTGACTAGTCACTCTCTTCTTCTCTGTCAGTTGTTACTGCAGCTCCAGCGAGAGGCAGAACAGGCCTCCCCTCCAGGCACGCTGCCTCCACTCCACCCCCTTCTTAGGGTCACTGGGTACAGTGGGAGGGGAGGGTGTGATTGAATATAATTACAAACATCAATGTATGTTCACACGGAAGAGTCATTAATGAAGGAAAAGAAGGGGTAGGGAAAGTAAAGCAAACTGCCTGAGCCCCTCCTGTGAAATCTTTCCTCCAGCCCTACCTCCGTTAAAACCAGGAGGGGAACAAGGTTTGGAAAGGTCCTGAACTTGCCCAAGAGCCGGCCCAGCGGCTGCTGCTGGAGCAGATTTGGTGCTTCCCTAGAAGGCAGCGCCCTGAGTGAGCTGCACTGTGGGAGGGCCCTCACCCGTCCACCCGTTCATGACCAGTGTTAACCCGTCTGCACCTCCGAATCTGTCACCTCCGCATCTTCAGCAGCCATTCTCTTGGCAAGATGGAAAATACCCAGAGAGCAATTAAACTGATGTTCTGATGGTGATCCTGGGAGTGGGGCACAGTTTTTAAAGAAAGCAATTAAGGGTCATTCAAGAGAGAGAGAGAAAAACCAACAAGTTACATAAAGGGAGCAAATTACCTTATAAATAAAAGTGGGTCACAAAGTCTTTAAAAATGCAGAAGCCAGAAGGGCAGCAGTTAGAGATCCTCTGGCTCACATCTCTCTGTTTTTCAGAGGCCATTACACGTTTTTCCTGACCCAAAGTCACACACTCAGAGACCGCACTGTCCTTAGACACCTGACTTTCAGGAGTCCAGTCTTATGATGATTTGTTCGATATCATGCTCAACTGTGTTTCTATCTGCATTTCTTAGTGCCTTACAGAAAAAGGAATCATGGGTAATAAGAAATTAAAGGAAATGGAAATAAATAAATAAAAAACTGAAGAAGCGAGTAAGGAGATAGGGTGTGTTTAACTTTTCCATTTTGTCATCGGCTCTGCCCTGAGTGAGATGCGGTGGACACTATAAGGTGAAGAAATTGGGAATTTGGAGTAGAGGTATCCTTTTGTTAGTGAGTGACCTAAGTCTCCCCAAATGTAGATTAATCCTGTGAGTTCCAGTCCTGCCTCTGCCAGTCCTGGCTTTGTGGTCGTGGGCGAATTAGCCTCCAGGCCTTCGTTCTCTCAACTGAAGAATGGGTAAAGATGTACGACTGTGGAAAGTTGTGGGGCTTGTGAGTGCCGTCCATGGTGAGATCCGAGTGGTAGAGTAGTTCATCACCAGATTTCACTTGGGATGATGTAATGCAGGTCCTTTTAGAACATTCTTGCGTGTCGTTAGAAGCCAGCTGTCACCTTTGTTCTTCAGTGCCCTGCTCATTTCTGGTTCACCTCTTGTCGTTCTTGTATACAGAGGGCAATGAGTGATGGGAAGCAAGTGTGTACTCCGCCTGCTTTGGGAGGCAGTAGAAATGGTAGAATGGTTGGTTGGGTGTAGCTCCTGGAAGCTTTGTCTTCATTCTCTATGAATGAATCCTCACTCCCTGCCTAGGCCTTGTCAGAGCACATCCTCTAATTGTAGAGTATGCAGGTCTCTAGCTGTCTGTTAAGAGTGATGGAAATGGCCGAAACCGGTTTGGCTCAGTGGATAGAGCGTCAGCCTGTGGTCTGAAGGGTCCCAGGTTTGATTCCAGTCAAGGGCATGTGCCTTGGTTGCAGGCACATCCCCAGTAGGGGGTGTGCAAGAGGCAGCTGATCGATGATTCTCTCTCATCTATGTTTCTAACTCTCTCTTCCTCTCTGTAAAAAATAAATAAAATATATATATTTTTTAAAAAGAGTGATGGAAATGAAGACGATAGAGAGGAGAAAATCTTTGACAAATAGGTTCTTTTAACCAGATTTAGTATTAAGTATTATGCCGCTTCAAAGACTGTTTCAAAGAGTGTTTGAGCTAGAAGAAAGCTTAGGGACTATCATTCTCAAAACTTCATTTTACAAAGAAACCATGGCCCCCAAAATGAAAGCAGCTTGTCTGTTGTACATTGCATCATTATGGTTTCTGTGTCATTATTTACTAACCTCTGCTTGATGCAGTGCGGACTTGAAGCAGCCATTGAAGATACACGTCGAACAAGTTAAAACTCAGTGAGGGCATCTCTGTGTGCATAGAGGGCACAGAGGAGGGGGGAATAATAGAAAAGTGTGGTCTAGGGGAAATTTTGGAAAAATAGTGTCCACTATACATGATACTAGAGTTCTGTACATGTGGTGGTTCCTAGCAGCCAAGGGCAGAGGTGATAGATCCACGGAGTATGCATGTTAAAATGGACCATTGCTGAGGAGAAGCTAAGCTGGTCCCAATGGGGAACTGAAGAGACATTTTCTATGGCTTGCCGTAAATGTTATTAATATTCTTTTGATGAGCTACATTATTGCATTATATTTGCAGACCCAGAATACTAAATACTACATAAGATACCATATTTAGTTAAAAATGGAAGCCTTCAAACCATACTACATAATACCTCTATGAACAGCCCCCCAAAAAATGTTGCAGTGGAATATTTATATCAGAAATCTCAGCCTTAAAGCTGAAATTTATATCAAAGCCTAAGGTAATATTTCCTCATTAGAGAAATGGTTTATTGCATAAGTTATTAATTGCTAAAGGTAATGTCAGATGTTCTCTAAAGCAATGTTTTACAAACTGCAGATCACAACTGTCAAGTAGGTTTTGAAATCGATGTAAGAGGTCACAGCTGATGTATTTTTTGTTTTTTAATGAAATGTAGCAAAGGGAAGCTGTCGGAGAAAGAGTGTTTGTGTGAGTGTGTATTGGTGTTTATACTGTATCACAATGTGATAGGTATTTTTTACTGGGATTGTGGTCCAAAAAGTTTGAAAGCCATTGTCATTAAGGCATACTAGGTGTACCGGTTAATAATGTGGATTATTTTTTCAATAGATGGAGTTACACACATGTTGATATATATGCGATTTGATATGTATGCTATTTTGTTGTATTGACAACAAGCTTCAAAACTTCATATGTCAAATTTGCTGAAGGTGATAACATCATAGATATTTTTATGCTTAAAAATGTCGAATTTCTGGCCAAAAAAGAGCATTTGCAGGAAATTTTAGTTTATTTTGAAGAAAAGTGCTGCTGAATATTTGGGAATCTTATGGTGAATATGCTCCATCTCAAGATACTTGTGAATACTGATTTAAACGCTTTAAAAGTGTTGATTTAGATGTAAAAAAAAAAAAAATAAAGAATGTCTAGATCAACCAAAAAAGTTTGAAGACCAACAATTACAAGCATTATTGGATAAAGATGCATGTCAAACTCAAAAACAACTTGCAGAAAGATTGTTCAGCAAACCATTTCTGATCATTTTCAAGCAATGGGAAAATTTTTAAAGGAAGGAAAATGGGTGCCACATCAACTGAATGAAAGACAAATGGAAAACTAAAAACTCATCAGTAAAATGTTGCTTCAATGGCATGAAAGAAAGTCTTTGCATTGAATTGTGACTGCCGATGAAAAATGGATTTATTTTGAGAATCCCAAATGCACAAAATCATGGGTTCATCCAGGTCGACCATCAACATCAACTGCAAAGCCAAATCACTTGGGAAAGAAGACAATGCTCTGTGTTTGGTGGGATCAGGAAGGTGTGGTGTATTATGAGCTTCTAAAACCAGGTGAAATATTTAATACTGATCGCTACTGACAACAAATAATCAATTTGAACCACGCCTTGAATGTGAAACGACCAGAATGTTCCATAAGACACGGCAAAGTAATTTTGCTTCATGATAGCACACCATCACACACTTCAAAACCAATTAAAGACATGTTAAAAGATCTTGCCTGGGAAGTAACCCACCCGCCGTATTCACCAGACCTTGCTCCTTCAGATTACCACTTGTTCCAATCAATGGCACATGCACTTTCTGAGCAGCCCTTCAAAATGTACAAAGATTAACCAAAGGACTTGTAGGCATGCATAAAGCCTAACCAATGGACACAGACAACAGAGGCGTAAGCCGGGGGCGGGGGGGAGGGGGGGGAGGCATGAGTGAGGAAGTTGTGGGGAGGGGAATGGGGGGATAAGGACACATAGGTAATACCTTCATCAATTAAAAAATTAAAAAAAAAAAAAAAGAACGTACAAAGAAGAGGAAAATTGGGTCTCTGAATAGTTTGCCTCAAAACAAGGAAAGTTCTATTGGGGCGATATCCACAAATTACCTGAAAGATGGGGAATGTGTAGCTAGCAATGGACATTACTTTGAATAAAGGACTTTTGACATTTCTCTTAAAATCAATGTGTTTTTTTATTACAAAATTGGCATTAACTGGTACACCTAGTAAAAGGGCTACTGTGAAGCCTTAGGCAGACGGTTGACCCAGGCTTTGGGGAGTCGGGGAGTGGTAAGGAAGCTCCAAGGAAAGGTGCCCATTGGATACTTGGGCTAAGACGGGGAGGGCAAGAACCCAGCCAACACAGGTGCTCTGAAAAGCAGCACTTTCAGGAGCCAGGACTGTCACGGAGATGGGGGGTGGGAGTATACACTGGGGTTATGTGTGAGATACATGGACAAGATCGTGAAAGGAAGTCCCCTTCCACTGTGCTTATTCTTACGCCAACATGAGCCCTTCCCCAAATCAAGACCAGGCCTTCAGCTGGGTGCCCTTAGGACCTGCTCTGTCCAGCACGGGAGCCACGAATCACCCCCCACAGAGCTCTTGAAACATGGTTGGTCCCAAGTGAGAGGTGTTGTGAATGTAAAAGACACCAAATTTAGAAGAATGTAAAAATCTCAATAGATTTAATATGAGTCTATTGATTATATGTTGAAATTGTAGCATTTTGGACATACTGGGTTAAATTAAATTTTACCTGTCTTATTTTCCTTTTTTAATGTACTAAACTTTTTAAAAGGACATAAGTAGCTTGGACTCGCCATGGGTTACTCTGAAGTGCCTCTCAAGGGCTGTTTCAGGATCACCCTAACCTCCTTTTTACATCCGCCCACCTGCTTCTCAGTCTTTGACATTCCTGTAAAAAAGAATGAAAAAAAATTTTTCTCACTTAATGATGAAATCCGGGTGCCCAGTTTGAGCTAATGCTTTGGTAGGAATAGGCTTTTTTTCAGTTAATGTTTGCTTCTTTCTGGTTTGGAGTAAAGGGAATGGAAAGTGGGTTCCACATTTTCTGAGATGTGGGAGTTGGGATGGTGACACAAAAATGGGCTAACGAACAGAAGACATTTGTGCCTGCCATTTATTTCACTATCAGGGGACAGCCCTGCTATGGGAAATTTCTGACTTTGGGGGAAAAAGAAAGCCTGATCTGAAATTATGCTTCATTCCCTTGTAATCTGATACTTGCAGAATTTCTATAATTGCCTTTTTCTTTCTCCTTTTAAACTAAATTCAGCTCTCAGTTTGGATTTCAAGATTTCTCTGCACTTAATTTTTTTACTATCAGGATACTAACATTCAAAATTGTACATCTCAGCAGAACTCTGACGTAAAATGCCATGAGGAGTGTGTGAAGCTGACTGCTTGCTTCCCCCCATCTCAGGGCTTGTCCCCCTGCCGGTCACGCTGCCCGGGTGGCCTTCCCTCCGTAGATCTCAGTACAGACTCTGTTCCCCATCCCCACGAGGGTGTCCTTGGCTCTCTGATTTTCAAGGGCTCTGTGCCTCAAACTCAAGAGTTGGGGCTGGGCAAAGGAGAAGTGTAAAACTTCTGGGGTTCTGATTTTCAAAAGGAAACTAATTATAGGGCCCAGTGATTAGTGAAGTATTTGATCCATTTTGGCTGTTAATGAGAACTAGCGTGGTTGCACCAACAAGGAAAATAATATTAGTTTTCTTCTCTCTGTTCCCTCCCCTCTATAGGAGTTGCTCAGAAACCTACCGCATGCCAGTGATGGAGTACAAAATGAATGAAGGGGTTTCATATGAGTTCAAGTTTCCCTTCCGAAACAACAACAAGTGGCAGAGGAATGCCAGCAAGGGGCCTCATGGTCCTCAAGTCCCGGCTCAGGTGCAGAGTCCCATGACCTCAAGGCTGAACGCGGGGAAGGGAGACGGGAAGATGCCTCCTCCAGAGAGAGCCGCCAACATCCCGCGCAGCATCTCCAGTGACGGGCGCCCCCTGGAGCGGCGGTGAGTGTCCCTTCACAGGCTGACTCCACGTCTGTGCCCCCGACTGAGTTGCACCAGACTCATACGCTCTAGCTTTTGGGTCTTCCCATATTTTACTAGAAATCAAGAATCGAAACTGAGATGCATGCACCAGTGGCTTTCAGAGCATGGTGGTAGCATTCCAAAGCCGTGGGGATAAATGAGGATCTCTTCCCCGAATAGCACTTGGCTCCATGTAATGTGTTTGTGCTCTGCTCTGTCATTTCTCTGTGCAGTCAACAGAAATCATCATTCTTGTACACTTAGCCTTGTGGCTTGGAACTCGGCAGACTCTTTGAGGTGACATTGACTGTGACATCATCTTGGACATCTTTGGGGATAAGTGATACAATAGCAACAGAATGAAGGTTTTTGGTTGAGTGTCTGTCACTGTGCTAATGACTGTGAGAAACAAAAGCAGCCAGTACAGCACAAACATATTTTCCACTGCTCTGTAATTTGGGAGGGGCGGGGAGGAGATGGATGTGTTAAAACTTAGTCCTAAGTAAAATAAGCAAAAAGAAGAGGGATCAAGAGATCCCAGAAAGTGAGAATTCAAGGTTTGTTATTAAACAAGTCATTAAAGATTCCCTCACAAATCATAACCAGTTGGCTCTTAACAAGGTTGCCCCAGCACTTTTGTCTGCAATTCACTGTAAAATTCAATGCTTTGAAATAAAGTCTAGGCCAAAAATGAAACCGGATTAAGTACTTTTAAAATGTAAATAAAAATTGGCTATAAAATTATAAGTTGTTAGTCCCACTTCCCTGAGCTCCTGAAAAGGGCAATATCATTCAATTACCTGTTAGAGGAAGCCAACTTCTTTACCTCTGCCCACTGCCCTTTCCCTATCACTTCTGCTTGTCTTAAGCTCATCTCAGAGGTCAGCTAGGGAGGGGTCAGAAACCCTCAGTGGGAGAAGGCTCTGCTCCTGGCGCTGCCCTGGACAGAAGGAAGGGCCCTGTGGAGCCAACATGGTCCCTGGCTCATCTGAGCAAGAGGAACCAGGTCCCACAAGAACAGGGTGGCCAGGAAAGGGGTCCTAGAGATGCTGAGCCATCATTGCTTCAAATTCAGAACAGAAAGCTGGAAGTTTTAAAAATCACACTATGATGTCTTTTAACTTAGACTATCTTTGAGCTTCTACATAAAACATTGTTCCTTCACTACATCAGAAATACTAGACCACTATCTATATATTTAAAAGCCTAAGCTATCATTTGCCTGGTATCTATGATGCACATTGACCACCCGGAACAGATGCTCTGGCCGGTAGGTTAGCTTGCTGCTGGGGTCCAGCTGATCGGGACTGGGTGAGACAAGCCAGACATGCCCTGGGTGAATCTGTGCAGAGGCCAGTTTCAGCCCGATCCCCACAGGCCAAGCCAAGGCCAAGAGACCTCACCAGTGCACGATCAGCGGGGAGGAACCACAGGAGGACTCCAGGATCTGTCTGGCCCATCTCATCCAGTCCCAATCAGCACCTATTGGCTGTGGAAGGACCCCACCAGTGCACGAATCTGTGCACCGGGCCTCTAGTGTATAAATAATTTAGTAAAAAACAGACAAACTAACTAAAATTAGTTGTCTTTTCAAAATTCTTTCATTCCATCCTGAAGATTTGTTTACAGAGCCTTGCTATTTATTTCAAAAGAGTCCTCTTCCAGGGTGGCTGCATTCCCATCTGGACTCCTCACTTTTCATTATTTTTGAGGAGGAAAAACATCCAGGAGATCTTTGAATAAATTCTTTGTTCTGCACATTCTGCAGTTGGCTCTCTCAGAGGTGTGTGTGCACTGGAATTTATGATTTGGCCCAAATTTTGAAAGATGAACTTAGGAAACTATTGTTTAGAGAAGGATGCTATTTTCTTTCCCTCCAGAACAATCATTGGGCTTTTACAACTGAGATTGTTTTGTGTGTGTGTGTGTATGTGTGTGTGTGTTATTTTCTTTACACAAGATTCCATGTAATACAATAGCAGAACATAATTCAATTCCACGTTGAGTTTAATTTCTGCCACAGACACTAAAGATGGTTGCTGAACATACCGGCTTCCAAAAGTGGAAATATTTTTTGTAGCTAATGATTGTCCTGTGATAGAGCAGCTTTTAGTGCTAGGCGATCCCTCACTTCCATTGCTTCCAGAGGGAGCCCTTTGGGTTCTGGAGGTTATTTATTCCTGCACTTGTGTCTGACTTTCATCTTCACTCCACCCAGAGGAAAAACAATCTCAAGGTGCTCACCATGGAAGGCCGAGACTCTTAAGCTGTATAGGTGAAGTGGAAGACGTGAGGCTGCCAGTGGTTTAGGGGGAAATTTAACCTCCATTCCGTTCCCTCTCAGGCTCCTTAGTTTCAGGTATTATTAATACACTCGACTCAGATTAAAGGTCTTATGATGGAGGTTGTGGGTGACTTGGAAAATCCCAGCCCTACATTTTCAAGATATCCAGGTTTTTTGGCTCATCTTCATTGTGAAGTATGTGACATTTAGATGGATATCCTTTTGCAAAAATTAAAGAGTTTGATTTCCTATCCCATCATTCCTAATTTTTATTAATACAATATTTCTCTCTTTTTTTAAGTTTAACTTCAAGTCACAAACAGAAGGTAATAGTTGAGGAACTCTTTTGTTGCTATTTCAGGAATATCCCCAGCACAGAATAGACTTGTGACATTCCTCAGGAATACTTTGCAAATTGACAGATTCATAAAGTTTACCTCGGAATAATAATTTCTTCCATACAATATACTACAATATAGCTGAAATTTTTAAGCATTTCTTATGTAGGCTTCCTAAGAACAGAACACATTGCTAAGAGATGGAAGGGACTGGTTGGGTGCTTACTCACTTGACTCTGCCTTCATCCCAGCTCTGCCCTGGGCGCCCTTTCCATTTGTACCTGGGCAGTCTCTAAAGTGTGGACCATTTAAGTGAATCCCAAATAGAACGAATGACAGGTTCTGCCATAAACTGAATCTTGCCTTATGAAAACAGTGTGAGCCTAGTGTCAGGACCAAAGTGTTGCATTTCGTGCACTAATTTTTCTCTCCCGGGTTAGGCACGTTGTGTCCAACTGTAAAGAAACCAGTTGTGTGAGCGTAAGTTAGCAGCCATCTCCAGTCTACCTACTACTCAGACAAACCTATTTCATTCACCATGACTGGGTCCAGCATGGCTGCTTTTACATGAAAACCTTCATTTACTATCTGTAGAACCATAGTTTTTCTTGAATTGGATACAATACTCTAGACTTCATTAGGGACAATTTTTTAAAACAGTATTTGTGGAACACGTTATCATTTTCCTTTAATACCAAGGTTAGCCTTAGCCGGTTTGACTAATGGATAGAGTGTCAGCCTGCAGACCAAAGGGTGCTGGGTTCGATTCTGATCAAGGGCACATACCTTGATTGCAAGCTCCTCCCCAGACTGGGCCCTGGTCGGGTCTTGTGCAGGAGGCAACCAATTGATGTGTTTCTCTCACATCGATGTTTCTCTCTGTCTTTCCTCTCATATTTACTCTCCCTAAAAATCAATGGAAAAATATCCTCGGGTAAGGATTAAGAGCAATAACAAAAAATAAATACCAAGGTCAGAATTTGTATGGCATTGCAAAACGTGTTGGTGTTTGGAGTTCCCAACAATTGTTTCATTGAATTGTGTTCTCTGTATACATTAAGAGATGCAATAGGAGCAGAACACTTGTTTGCCAAAAAAATAGAATAAAGTTAAATTCTCTCTGATTTAAATATATGAGCTTTATGCTCTCCAGGTGGCCTTTTGACTATGGAATTTTCTAGTATTTGTGGAGATACTATTTATCAACAGAATTAGTTTTTGTTCAACAGAAATAGCCACTGCAATGCAATCGTTCTTTTGGCCTCAAATTTATCTAGAGTGTAAAGGTAAGACTGAAATAAAAATAGCTGGCTGAAGCATATCCACCTGTGCTGTTTATACATAATATGCAGGATAAAACCGTGATCTGTGTTAATGTGCTCTGAAAAGTTCAGCCCAGCTGGCATGAGACAGTGATTGAGCATCAACCTATGAACCAGAAGTCACAGTTCAATTCCCAGTCAGGGCACATGCCTGGGTTTCGGGCTCAATCCCCAGTGTGGGGAGTGCAGGAGACAGCTGATCGATGATTCTCTATCATCATTGATGTTGCTATTTCTCTCTCCCTCTCCTTCCTCTCTGAAATCAATAAAAATATATTTGTAAAAAAAAAAAAATAGAGAAAAGTCCAGCTGTTTCAGGGGTTTTGTATAGGCAATGGGCATCTTAGCATATAAAAAAAATGTTCCTTTCTCTGTTTTTAGATGAAGTATTACCAGCCCTTATATAAATATTTGGTGTTGGATCTTACTGAACTAGTGCTGCTTTTGAGTTATACCAGCATGCCCTACTGTCCCCTTTCCCCACTTCATTTAACTCTAAGTGTGTGTGGGGGGAGTACTTCTTCGTTTACATAGCATTACAGAAGGCTGCATTGGCAGCCCACCCACCCCTCCTCATAGACACTAGCAGCCTGCAGGGCCAGAAGAGTATGCCTGTGAACATTGTTGAAACAGATTTAGAGTTCTCCTTTCAGAGAGCTGATCAGTTGTGTGCTCAACCAATCTGTATTTTTAAGAAAATGCTTTCTAAATTTATTTCATACAGGGTCTGTGCTAATTTTTACTATCATTTTCTACTTTGAGACAAAGCAAGCACCTGTGAAATCCTTCCTCTTCCTTTATTTAGACTAGGGACCTGGTGCACAAAATTCGTGTGTGAAATTAGCCCATGAAATCCGTGCATGGGTGTGGTCCCTAGGCCTGGCTGGCGACCAAAGCACAAGTGTCTGGTTTGGAAGGGCAGGTCCTAGCTGACCTTTGGGCCCTGGGCAGCACCTGGGTCCTCAGGTCCCCTCTGCCTGAGTCACAGCGCCCGAGTCCCCACAAGGAGATGAGGTGAGCACAGCCGGACATAGT